CCACATTGGATCTGAGTCCAGACTCTTGAAAACATTGACAAGAAAAAATATTCTTGATTCAATCGGATTTTTGCTTGAATCAAAAGGAAATCCGCTCAAATTATGAGGCTTGGTTCTTGATTCAAGCTAGATTCTGATTGAATCAAGAGTACTTTTTCTCGTCGGTGTTTTTAAGAGTCTGGACTCTAGATCCAATGTGTTTTCTTTTCCAGTGAGTATTTCTTTTTTTGCACAATGTAGTCCAATTCTGAAACGTCCAAGACGAGACACGTGTCCTCGGCTCGTCGGGTCGGCCGACCCGGGGCATCGTCCATCGACCGACCGGTCGTGGCTCTGTTCGCGGGCACATTCTGTCCAATTCGGAGCATTGTTAGGATAATTTTTGACGAAGAGTCATAGTCGGTCCCTCGCTCGCGCCGCCAGTTTTCGGGGGCGGGGGCGGGCCCCCCGCCCCCTTTCCACGCTTCGACGAGTCGCCTTGAACCCGGCGGGTGCCCGAGCGGGGAGGGCTCCTGGCTTAGCCCCCCTCCCCCTCCCTCCCTCCTCTTCCGTTCCATTCCGTTCAATAGGTGTATACGTTACACAATAGTTGACAATGAAACGGCGACCTCCCGGCATTGATGCCTCGTCGGTTCAAAGTAATACGTCGAGTCATACTTTCGGGTGGAAAATCATTACAAGCGAACTTCAGTTTCGATGGCTTCGCATTCGATGCTTTATCAGCAGTCGTTGTGACCAAAATCTGAAGAAAGACTTTTTTCCTTTTTTTGGAAAAAACAAAGCGAACTTAAACCAGAAACAAAAACCTCACTCGAATATATAGGCAAGAGTGGATTTGGTTTAAGTTTTTCATTAACTTACTGCCAACCTCTGTGACAACAAAACGAAATTCTCTCCGGGCGATGGTGCGCCTACAACATTTAGTTTTCATGCTGGCAGAATTGACGACCACATCCAAAATTCTCGACTCACCTCGAAAGGTGGGTCGAAAAGTGGATGGATGCAAACTGTGGCCATAATTCATTACGCAACCGAGTTTCGTTCTTGAGTTCAGCAGAGCGTTCTTCTTATCAGAGGTTTGCAACTCCACCAATCTGGTTGGAAATGTCGACCAAATTCATTCGCGAAAATTCGCCTAATATTTGCGACTCCTTGAAAAGGTCGCGAGTATACCCCAATTTTTTTTTTGAATTTTAAAGTCTATATCCTTCAATTTGAGATAATCCCTTGAATATTCTCAATAAACCTCAATATACCTAAATCACACTCACAGTCTTGAAATTCATTTGGTACTTATCATACTTACTTTGTTTCCGACCCCTGGACAATTCGTCGCTCTTTCGACGTAAGATCGGTTCTCTATTTCTACATGAGCCTTGGAAAACGGAGAGTTATACTGCCTTGCTAAGGAAAAACGCCGTATGAACATTCGAGAGTTGCCAAATTTCCCCGGATAAAACATGTATTTTTGAGGAAAGTTATGCAGATTTTTCTTTGAAATCTTCAGATATTTTAGATCAAATCGCGCGAAAAATTACCTGAAAATTTTGAAAAGAATATTCACAATTTTCCCAATCAATTCGTTTTACATCGAAGGAAATATGACAACGCCTGAAAGTCCTTACGGCGTTCTTCCTTAGCACGGCAGTATACGAATGAAGGGCAGTGGCCGCGCAGCAGGACGCGACAGTGGCCCAAAAATCCGGCACAGGTGCTAAAGCGACGTGCGACCGTGTTCGGGCCATCCTCCGGACGGAAGCTCACAGCCGAGGCCACCCAAACGCCAAAACGACGACGATGTTGCGCGCCAAGCCCCAAGCGTGCGTGAGCGTTTTACAGCGGCGCACGGGAGTGACAACCCGTGCGAACGCGGACCCACAGGATATCGATATCGAGTTCCCCGTAGGAGTAGCCGGTCGCTCGGCGCGCCTCCTTCGAATTCATCTCGGGACGGGGCTCGGCAGTCGAACCGACGCCAAAACCGAATTTGTACATTATCTGATGGACCCTAGAATATACTGTTTTCTTACGGAGGTCGAGGCTCATCAGAAAATCGATTTCTCAGGTTTCAGGATCGTATCTCGAGTGCGATATGACCGGACAGATAAAGCGGGATTAGTGGCCGATTCCCGACTCGGATTGACTCGCCGAGCTTTTATGAACGGATGCTTCGAAGCTTGATTTCGGCGGAGATGGAGAGAGGGGGGAGTTCGGGGCAATAGGGGGGGGTCGGGGGGGGGGGGGGGGGGGGGGGGGGGGGGGGGGGAGGTTGAAGGGCGGATGCCATCTCCTTCCGCCCCCACGAATGCTTGGAAAGGAGGAGTCTTTTAAACATGCATCTCGGAAATATATCCTTATCGATTGTAAAAAATCGACGTATTACCATGTGAAATTGGAAACATTCCTTATTGAGGGTCCGGGAGTCGTGATCATAGAAGATATAGTGGCATCGTCCGCTTCAGTCGTTTAGTCGGCGGACCTCAGAAATGATCTTACAGAACGGCTAGTAGAGTTTGAAAGTTAAGAATATTTTTTTTTTTTTTTTTAATTTTCAGACACTATATGAAATTATGAACAAATTTCTCTGTGAAAGCTTAAGAAAAAACTTAAATATTTCTTAAAAAATTCTTGATTTTTGTCGAAGGAAATCCGACAATGTCTGATGGCTCATACTTACGGCGTTTTTCCTTACAAGGCAGAATAGCAGTGCAGAGCTTTAAAAATATCTTCTATGAAAGCTGACAAGCTTACAGTGCAGAAGAATACGCTTTCTCCCCTCAGTCTTGTACAAAGACGCATTTGGGTTCAAAATTTTTTGACTCTGATTGAAGTTTTTGAAACTCGCTGGCTTTGTTCTCTCCGCGAAATGGTGTGGACCAAGCACCATTTTGCCACCTTCTTACATATAGTTCGGGCCATTTTTAGTGTGTTTTCTAGCTTACAGAAAAACGTTGGACGGCACGCGGGAACCGTGCGAAGAAATTTGCAAAAGCATCGGCCCTCGGTGGCCGTGCTGTGGGTCCGTCGTGTCAATCAGACTGTGCTGCATCGTGTCAATAATTGGCAGGGCACGGCGGACGGCGGGTTCCCTCCCGTCAGCGTCACAGCCGTTAAGTACCTGAGCGACGCGATGCGCCACGCTAGGGCGCTTCAATTAATGACCCACTAACGACGATTAAGTGATTAAGCAACGACAATGTCGCGCCCAGCTCAACGGACAATGCTGCTTCAGAACCGCATGGCCTGGGAAACGGGTCACTCCCGCCGGCGACAAAGGAAGTCGTCAGTCGAGCACACACAGAGCCGGACAGACGGGTCCTTCCAGTAGAGTCCTGGCAATAGTGGAAGCTTTCGGGAGTGCGGAAAGTTCGGAAATGCACATAGTTTGCCGCGATTAGAATCGAGCGGAGAGAGTATTGTACAAAATCTTCCAGAGACGCGTCGTTTCGATGCAACAGAGCTTTGAAAAAGTTTCAAATTTTCGAAGCTCCTTGCTGGGTAGGCAATTTTTACCGCAAGGACTTCAAGAAAGCACAGCGAATAGCCAAGGAAGCGCATACCTCACATCTGAAGCGTTTTTGGGCATATGTGTATATAACAGGAAAAATTCATTTTGAGCCGAAAAATCGAACGTGAAAGTTAAGCACGTTATCTTTGGACATCCTGTATCGGAGGAGGGTGTGTTACTCCGGTAAAATAACTCTCGTTACCATCCCCAGGTTTTTCTTGCGTGCATGGTAGGATTCGATGATAAAATTTTAAATAATTGGACGTGCGTGACAGGGCGTACAATTTTTACTGCGAGGACTATAAGAAAGTATATCGCATAGCTCACATATGAAGCATTTTTGGGCATATGTGTGTACAATAGGAAGAAAAGTGATATTTTGAGCCGAAAAATCGAACCCGAAAGTCGAGCACGTTATCTCCAGGACATCCTGTATCGGAGGAGGGTGTGTTACTCCGATAAAATAACTCGCTTTACCACCTCCAGGTTTTTCTTGCGCGCATGGTGGGATTCGATGATGAAATTTTAAATAATCTGATGTGCGTGACAGGGAGCCTGTCATCTGCGGGCTGAGCGTTCAAGTATGAACACAGGAACGCTAATACTATAGGAGGAACTGTAGGCTTTAGCCTAACAATGAGTCCTCAGGGTGTTGAAATTGCTCATCTGCACGCTCGGTCAGTTTGTTTTTAACAAATAGTCGATTCTCCAACGTAGTTCCATTCCAAAGTTGCAACATTGGTTCAAATAATTCAATTGTTTTACTTAAACTTGACGGTGCGATTGTTGTCCAAAATGCTTATTTTTGTCTATAATCAGGAGAATAATCAGTGAAATTTTCGGTTATTCAACGGTTTCCAAGTAAAAATGCAATCTGTAATTGGAGATCACTGAATGTTGAATTGGACTTAATATTGCAATTAAGAACAATCAATCCCGGCTTAGCTTAGAAGCAACATGTGCAACATCATTTTAAATCACAGTAAATATTAGTACTTTTACGGATGAGCCAGAAATTGTAGTTCATATTGTTGAAAGACCAGTGGTATGTTTTGACGATAACTCCGTAGATGTGTCAGAAACTCCCTAACTTTTCCCATAAATTCCCTGACTTTTCCCTGACTTTCCTCGGTCTCTGCAAATTCCCCGAATTTTCACAGTCTCTGAAAATTCCCCGACTTTCCCTGAATTTTCCGGTTTTCCAGACCGTCAGCAACCCTGCCCAAAATTCTCTCGATCTCTCTAGCACTATTGCTCATGACTCTGAGTCAGTTTTTCGGAGGTTTTCCGAAGTTTTGTTTACCTCTGTATAGTCAACGTGTGACAAATTAACGTAAAAACACAAGCGAAGGCATGAACAGCGTAAATGCGATTATTGCTTAAAGAACACATGTGAAGAAAGGCAGTAGAATTTTGGATTCTTCACTCATTGAATGCGACAACTTTACGTGGTCTGTCCGGAAAGTATCAGGACTTTTTGATTATCTCGGAATGTAATGCATGTAATGAGCTGAAACTTGGGTTAGACTTTTGCCCATGTCCTCTCCAATGCAGCCACACAATCTGGCTTTCACACCTTTAATCAGTCGATTGCAATCAACTGATCAAAGGGTGTGTGTCAAGTGCTATCGTCGCGTTTTTTTTCTTTCGTGAAATGACCGAGCGTGAAGATCAGAGAATTTGTATTAAATTTTACTTTAATCTAGAAAAAACTGCCAAGGAGACCATGGAAATGATTCGGAAAGCTTTTGGCACTGATTCTATGAGCAAGAGCAATATTTATGAGTGGTATAATCGCTTTAAATCGGGTCGTGAAACAGTCGCTAGTGATCCGCGGTCCGGGAGACCTTCATCGACGAATTCTCCCGATAATGTGGAAAAAGTTCGGGAAGCTATTGCCCAAGACAGTCGGTTAGCCATGCGGGAACTGGAAAAGCAGCTAAATATCCCGAAGACCGTCGTTGCGGAAATTTTAACTGAAAAACTCGGGCTCCGTAGAATGGCAGCGAAATTTGTGCCAACGCTCCGGCTCATTCCTCCTGTCTTGTGCAACAGTTTTTGGCAAAGCACGGTATTCCTCTGGTTCCACATCCTTCGTACAGTCCAGACTTAGCTCCTTGCGATTTCTGACTGTTCCCAAAGCTGAAATCTCCAATGAAAGGGACTCGATTTGACTCCATCAATGACACAAAAGAGAATACGACGAGAGCGCTGAAGGACATCCCAAAGGAGTGCTTTTTGGACTGATTTGAACAGCTCAAAAATCGCTGGAACAAGTGCATTGTGTCTTGCGGAGAGTACTTCGAAGGAGATTAAAGCCACAATGTCATGGGTAAGCTCGATTTCTCAAAATCTAAAAAGTCCTCATACTTTCCGGACAGACCACGTACATCGGATAGTCACACCGGTCAGGAGAGGGGTCAAGCAGACCAGAAGACGTGCGTTACGTTACGTAACGGTCGAATTGTACCCCAAGTTTTCTCGAGGGAGCTCAATATTGCCGCGCTAAGGAAAAACGCTGTATGAACATTCGAGAGTTGCCAAATTTCCCGTGATAAAATTTTTATTACTGTGGAAAATTATGAATATATTTTCTTGAAATTTTCAGGAACTTTAGGTGACATTTCGACCAAAATTATCTGAAAAATCGGAAGGAAATTATTCTCAAGTTCACCAGGGAATTCGTGTTTTATCGAAGGAAACTTGGCAGCGCCTGAAGGTTCATACGGTGTTTTTCCTGAGCACGGCAGAATACAGCTATGCCAAGGAAGAATGCCGTATGAGCCTTCAGGCGTTGCCAAATTTCCGCTGGCAAATCATTACTTTGCAGGAAAATTTTTGAATATTTTTCTGCCAATTTCTCACATAGTTTTGTTTGTACTTTTATCTAAAATCTCTGAAAATTTCAAGGAAAAATATTCATAATTTTCCTCAAAAATTAACATTTCATCGAAGGAAACTTGGCAACGCCTGAACGTTCATACGGCGTTTTTCCTTAGCACGGCGGAACAATCCGGTAATTAAAAGCGTTGTTTGGCCGATGGCTTCCTAACAGCGTCAGAACTCGGTCGACGGGACGGAGGAAAAGCCCTTTTCCGGGTCCCCGCTCAAAAAAGGAAAAGGGGGTCGAAAGGGTGAAATTAATAAATAATCAACTTGAAACAATTAACCGCGGCGGCAGACGAGATTCTTGAGAAAGTTACGGCGAGAGAACCGCCACCCCTCCCCCTCCTCACCGCCCCCCGCGTCTCTGGGGAGGGGGGGGGGCGTCGCGGAGCAAAGGTGCACAGTGCAGTGCTTACCCCTCGAAATTCCACCCTCGATTCATGACCGACGGCGCAGTCAGCGATGTTGTCAAGTTTGGCAGGGATCGATTTCCCGCGGAAAAGCTTAAGGCCGCGAAACGGGAATGGGCCTGTTGCAAACCTTAGCTTGAACAAATGCACTGTTAAAAATCCCGGCGCGAAATTCACGCTTACTCAGATGCTATTTTGACCACCTGTACATAGTACAGAGATTGTGAAGTTAGGAGTCTCTTTCAGACTTTCCCGATACGCGTATCGTGATTTTTGAGCCATTTTCCATGAAAGGCAATGGAGATGTTGCATGTGTGAGGAATTTGCGATTTGACTGTTGATTCCTTTGTGAAAGTTCTTGAGAAACACGATGGTGCCACTGGTTTTCTCTGAAATCAACTCCCAAGCTCAAAAAAAGCTCTCAAGTTGAGGCCAAAATGAAGGGGATATCCCACACTATCCAGAGAGTCCACCTTTACGTCAAGACAAACTCTCCATGCAAAGATAGGAAGCAAATACATTAGCAGGGTTGTCACTTTATTTGGGGACTCCAAAACTGAAAACACGGCATCACTGCTAATGTATTTGCTCCCTATCTTTGAATGGAGAGTTCGTCTTGATGTAGAGGTGGACTCTCAGAGTAGCGTGGGATATCCCTTCCATTTTGGCTTCAACTTGAGAGCTTTTTTTGAGCTTGGGAGTTGATTTCAGAGAAAACCAGTGGCACCATCGTGTTTCTCGCGAACTTTTACGTAAGAATCAATAGTCAAATCGCAAATTCCTCACACATGTAACATCTCCATTCTTTTCTTCACCCTAGCTGAAGTTTGCAGCTGGCTCATGCTTACTCAGTCCATAAAGGTACTCTTGGTCACGGTACGTTACGGTCCAGTTGAGGACCATCGGGTCTCTCCATCCGACGAAGAATGGACGACGAACTCGACGGTGGAGAACGGCAACGGGTGTCATCGACGAACGTGGGTCGTGAGCCGCGGCGATGGAGAGTGGGCTCCCGACCGGATGGTGTTCCAGAGGGGGAGGGGGTGGTG